TTCGATTGTCAAATATTTACGAAAATAATAAATTTCGTAGATTTTCCCGTTTTTCCTACGTTTTTTCCGGGTTTTTCCCATTTATTATGAAAACCCCTAAGAAAATAAAAAATGGTCCCCTTAACGTACCACCCCAGTCACATTTCCTTTCAAAAAAAAAATGCTACGCTTGGAAATTGTTGGTAAAAAAATTATTAACAGAGAAAAAAAACATTGTAAAACCAATACATTCCCCGCTCCGCTTAGAATCTAAAAAATACATACAAATTAATGATTGTTGTTTTTATTTGAAGAAATAAACTAGTTCCTGGAACCAGCCTGGAATTAATTCCATCTTAACAAGATATCTAAACGTGAACTATTCCTTTTTAAACGGATCTTCCAAACCATGAAAAATATTCTTTTTTGTTGGCAATGTTGCCGTTATTTTTAAACGCTGGCCTTCGTATTCATAAACGACCGCCGAAAGTTTTCCGCGACTTGACAATAATATTATTATTATCATAGGCTTATTTACGGATCCGGCTGTTCAGCTGGCAATGACCGGAGTTGTGAATTCGCGTCATTCTCCTCTAATCACTGAATTTAAATATACAATTACTTAACAATAATGACTGAAGTATTTAATTTCTTAAAACAGACAACGTAGAACCGTCACTAATAATTGAACTAAAATAAGTATATAATATGTATATTTATTATGTAGTCACAAAAATCGAAAATCGAGCAATTTTTTTCATTTATATACACTAGTGATGTTAAAAATATCAAAAAAAAAAAAAAAAAAAAAAAAAAACCAAAAATATTATTGTATATTTCGGGAAGCTATTTATACGAATTCGATGAAAAAAAAAAAAACAAAATAAAACAACACAATACGAATGCCTAATCACAAATTTCCAAAATCGGGCGCCAAAAAAATCTAGTTTATCCTGAAATGATTTTTGAAAAATGTCACCAAAATGAACAGCGCTATATATAGTACTATAATCATAGTCTTTACACAGTACTTTACCCGTATGTATGTATATATGTATGTGCGTGTGTGCGTGTCTCTCTGTGTGTGGAAACGGTCGTCCGGTCCGGTCGTTCGGTTGCGGCGGCGACGGCGGCGGCGAGGCGCAGACCAATATCGCGACGACGCGCTGTTGAACGATTGTGCTGCAGTGACGGCGGCGGCAGGACACCGCATCCTTCGGGACGATACACACGTGACTGCGTGCCGGGCAGGATGCGACACCGACGACGGACGCCGGCGTTCCCGCGCATGACCGCACGCGGACCGACGACGGCGACGCCGCGTAGTGTCGTCGACGGTGTTCTAGCCGCCGCGCCAGAATCTCTTAATGTGTGTAACATTTTATTATTATAGTGGGTACGTATACTGTATTAGATAAAAACGCGTATTACATGAAACCAACGGTTTTAGAAACCTTCGTTCAACCTCGTTGATTTATTTTTTTCTCTATGTATTAAAATGTTTAATTTAAAATATCCGGTGGCGCGATAACGCCGTTGTTGTTCGGCCGGTCGGATGCGGTATCATAATACTATTACAGCATAGGTGTAACGTCATTGCGATGTCCAGTGACCAATTAATCAGTCGGCAAAATATTTCCTATGCGACACGTACGTGTACAAGGAGGAGTTTTAGGGGTTCAACCTTTACCCCCCCCTCACCCGAAATATCATGAAATTTATGATAATAGTCGATTTTTATTGGTGCCTCTGTCAACAAGGAAGATAAATACAATTTTGTTTTAGTTTCTGAATGTAGCGAAGAACGTATTAGTTTTACAAAGATGTTACATAGTTTACTCCCATGTAGACATTTTTCTGAAAGGAAATTTTCTTGGGGGTAGTGCTTTAGGGAGCTATCCTACATTCCCAACTTTCACTTACAACAGAGACTGCACCTATTCCCATTATCTTAGAACAGTTTTTTTTTTTAATTTTATTACTGATAGTAGGTAATACCTACTAGGTATATAATATTATTATTGTCATTCATAATTTTTTGTGGTTTTCCTGCTTTTAGAAAATTATAACTGATACGGCAATATTGCATAGTCCTCATTATCATCACAATTATTTGAATTACGTTATCATTTAGGCTGTATTTACAAAAAACATATTAAATGTAAAATTTAGTAATAGGTTTCAGCTAAATGGCTAAAAATAAATATTATAAAATATTGACATTTTTATTGGAAAATAAACATTTCTACAATTGAAATATGTGAACTTCTTTGTTATAAAAGTATAAAAGTGTACCTTAAACCTTAAAACCACCCCCCCCCTCCCGAAATATTTTTTTGAAAACGCACCTGGTGTACGATAAAAATATAAATATAATTGTCAAACTGCAGGCAATAACGATTGAATATGATAAATAACATTTCTTCATATAACTGTAAAAACACAAATTACAAATTTGAACAATACAAAATAAACATATTAATCTAATAAATTGACCTCTGGGTTCCATCGATACTAAAAACAATTTTGTTTAATATTTTTGATTTACATATTATTATACTTACACGGAAACGGGTGCATATTTTCGTGACGATATTATAAGCTGAAATTCGTGAAAATAGGAAACCATTGATTACTTATCCCGTCGAGGGCATACAAAGTATAAGAAACATTTTTCAATATTTCGACCAAGTTTTTTTTCCAAGCCCGAAAACTAGTGATTGACCAAAATACCTGAGGTTAAAAAGGGTGTTGAATTTCTCTCAAACAGCGGTGAATTCGGATTTAAAAAAAAAAAGCACAGGACGGTGATAGAAAAATGTGTTAAGTATAGGAATCATCCCTTCTCCTACTTTGTAACAAAAACATATATAAATTAAATATCAATGTATATATATATATCATACATATTCTATTATATATCATAAATATTAATCTAATAAACTTTTACACCGTCATTTATGCATGATATAATTGGTGGTTTTTCCATCTTGAGACTATCACACGTGTGAACACATATAGTGCCATGGTTCTATGTTACTGTCGTGTCACGCTTTCAAAGACGTTTCTATCGAAATACATTCTAGTATCGTGTCTCCCGCTACCATTCTAGCCACCTACTAATATTATATTATCATTGCAAGTGGACTTGGGCTCTATGATAATTACTATCACGATGGTACGCAATATCAATTATCACCGCAATATCATTATATAAATCGGGCCTAAGCGACAATGTAACACACATTTTTAATATCAAACGTTATTGAAATGTTTAAATATCGTAATAAAATATTAATATTGCGGTTTTTGGGGACGATCGCTTAACCGTGCGGTATAATATTAAGTCGTGATCAAAAACGAAAACCCAGCTGTAGGTAGTACGTGTACAGTGTGCGGAAGACGCTACACACTTTGACGCGCCAAAAAAACATATTTAATCGTTCGCATGTAAAGACAGTGTTTTAAATCTGTTAAACAAAAAAAACACCGCCGCCAATATATGTATATAAAAACAGGATGTCACTAGTATAAAATCGATGTTTATCGAAAACTACTTTTCGACACGGTGATTCGCGCCAGTTAAATCGCATCACACCGAAATTATTGTATTTACGAGTATTTCATCATATATTTAGATAAGTAGATAACGGAGATATTAAATATAATATATATGATTATGTTGGTAATGTTGGCGTTTGGAATCGAAATCATTTTTACAGGCACATAAAACACGATTGCGTGGGTAGGTAATAGGTGTAGTTATACGTTTTTACCTAATGAAATTTTAACTACTGCAATACTGCCAAATTTCCAAAACTTTTTGACCAATACTTAATGTTGATTTTAACATAGATATAATAGTTTCCTTCTTTTATTTTTTTTTAAATTTAATTTATAGCATCATTATCTCTTCATCAGCATCTAAAGATCGCATACTATTAATCAAATGGCTCAAACTGAACAGATTGAAGACAACATTTAAAACGCATATACGAGTATTTCCAACTATTCTGGGCCTCTGATATTTGATTAGAAAGATTAATATGCACATGATTTCCCTTTTCTTTCCACGACGTAGTCCGAAACCTAATGTCCAAGTGTAGGTGAACCTTATTGATTCTGTAGTACACTATTAGTACTAGGAGCATTATTACCCACTCTTAGATCCACATTAAAGTACATTTTTGTGTCAGATATGAACTACTGTAGAGTACATGTATTTTCACCCACTCCACAGAAGAACTGTATATATAAAATATTAATACGAGTATACAAATATATTATAAATGGAAACGTTTGATAAAAATCATATGAAATCGTGTGATTTGTAGAGGCGTTTTGATAGTAATTTTTTTGCTAAAAAAACTTACGAAAATTCGAATAAAGCATGTTTTCTGAAACAAAATATTATTTAATTTGCGTGTAAGAAATTCAAATTTGATTTTTTGTGTAGTTTTTTAATAATTGTATTTAACCAGGAAAAAACAAAATAAAAACAGAAACGTATACGAAAATATAATGGTTTCACTAATTTCAAATTTGTTTATTTGGTTATTCGGTTAAAAATAATGGTATAAACCTGGAATTCTCTCAGAAATTTCGCTTATTTTAGATAGTTATTACGAGCTATTTGCCATTTTTGAGTTTTTTTAGTTTTTATTTGGTTTAATGTGGATACAATTGTTTGGCCTAACAAAAATGCTAGACTATTTAAAATGAGGTTCATAATAAGTTTAACTTAGTGGCTAAAATTGGGAAATATGTTGTAGGTTTTTTTTATAGGCATTTTAAAGTAAAATTTTGATAAAAATTGTAAAAAAATACAGTCTTTCAATAAACATATACAACCGAACTTTGCTCAGAATCGCATACAGTGATAATTTGTATATAGTACAAGATAATGGCAGTTGCTATGTAAAGTTTTTAAAAAATATTTATTTAATATATATAAATTAATATATTTAATATATTAATATATTTATTTCATTATATTGTATAGTGTAAGTACCTATTGAGAAATGTCATTGCCGTCATCATCATCGTCGTCGTCGGAAATAAAATCTTCTGAGATAACGGATACCCAAAATTCGACCACTACATCAAGCGGACAGACTATTTACGCGCCACGTTGGATCCGGAAAACCCGTCTGGGTCACGTGACGAGGGATAGTAGCTCAAGTAACAAAACTCCGACCGTTGGCCCGCGGACGAACAAACGATCACCGTCGTCGTGGTGTTCGATAAATGTCGATAATTATTCTGACGACGAAATTCGACCGAAACTACAGCAATCGTCTTCTTTGTCTTCCGAGCTAACACAGTTTTCAACAAAATCGCCCGTCAACAATCTTCAACCTATGCAAAACCCGTCGAATTCGTCCAAGTACAAGAGTTCTGACGATTTGCTGTACAACAACGCACTCGTTAATAAATTGCGAAATTCGAGCGTAATCAAAAAAAAACATCTATTGTTCAACACGAAAAACTCGAACATCGGCAGTTCAAATGCTACTTTCGAATGGTTTCTTCCTGGTAAAGGAACGACCTACTCGGTAACAGATAGTTTGAAATCCCGAATAATAATTAAATTACATCGATTCGTTTTATACGTTTTGCTGATACTAGACATTCGTTTTTCACCGTATACATTCTCCTTTTGGTATTGACAATGTGTGTTGTAATCATAGTTTAAAATTAAATTATCATTATTGTTTTTACTTTTTTGGAAACTGATGAAAGCTACACACAGGAAAATAAAACTGTATATTGAATTTTACAGGACGAATGCAAAAGATCTGGTGAATTTGACGAATACATAGAGACGAATCTCACTTTCGAACATCGATTCCATTGGTCGGAAAATATTGAATATTGTTCTCCGTGGGTCGAAGACAGATCGAGAGAAATTTTTAACCACGTTAATGAAATCGGACTCTTCGGAGCGCAAAGGGAAGAGATAGGACACGATGACAAGAACATTTCCGATATTTCAAAAGATGATTCCATCCGTGATGACTGCACCAGTGAAACAGATGACGGCATCACGTATGCAGTTGCAAGTCGATTTTGTGATATATTGATGAAACACAATAAGACTACAGACGATAAATCTAAATGCCAATGTTCTTCAGATGAACAATTCAAGTGGACTAAACTTTACGAAAAGCTCGGTAATTATGAGTGACTTTAAGTCACCGGAAAGGACTTTCGAGCATCCACTCCGGGCCACCGTTGGTTTTTTTGTGGTTGTTGTGGTTCATCACTCCGTACCAACCCCGTATACAGAAGGGGTTCAACCCCTCCCCAAAATGTTTAAATTAAATACAAATTCGCTTATAACGATCTTTAAGGGACCTAGGGAATCTGATCGTTATANCCATCCTTCACGATTTTGTGCTAGTATATGCCAATCTTCCTCCGGGTAGAAAACTGTTACATCTTTTTTGACACAGTCCTCCCATCGCATTCTGGGTCTTCCTAGTGGTCTTTTCCCTCTTGGATTCTCTTGTAAGACCGTCTTTGTCATAGCATCAGGTTTCCTCCACACATGACCTGCCCATTCCAATCTTTTTCTTTTTATCTCCTTTACTATATCCGGTCTGTTATATAAGTCATATAACTCCTCATTGTGTCTTTTACGCCATTCACCTGTTTGTGGGTCTAGATATGGTCCATAAATCCTTCTTAATATTTTCCTTTCAAAGACCTTCAGTTTAGACTCATCATTTGTCCTTGCAGTCCAACATTGCGCTTCATAAAGTACTATTGATCTTATTAGTGTGACATACAGCTGAACTTTAAGTGTCTTTTAGAGTATTCTTGACTTCAGTAAGTTCCCCATTGCGTAATAACACTTGTTACCCATTTGGATTCTTTTAAGTATTTCATACTCCATATTGTTTGAATGGGTGATCATTGTACCCAAATATTTAAATTGTGATACATTTTTGAAACTATAAGGACCTACCTTTAGAAACTCTTCTGCTTGTCTTCCGTATCGTACTTATTTCCATTTAATCTTTTCTCTTCATTAATTTGCAATCTAACTCTTCTCGCTGCTGTTATAAGTCTTTCGCACAGACTTTTCACTGTATTTACATTATTTCCTAAAAGCACTATATCATCTGCGTATGCTAAAATACTTATTGATGTTCCATCGAGTTTCACCCCTTCATCTGGTGAAATATTCATTATTCTAATTACTTTTTCCAGAACTAGATTAAAAATAATTGGGGATAGTGCATCACCTTGCCGTAAGCCTGTATTCACCTGAACTTCTCTTGATAGTACATTATCAACTTTCACTTTTACCATGGTTCCATTTAAAGTGGCTTTAATTAATCCTATAAGCTTTTGTGGGATGCAGAAATGTTCTAAAATTTTGTATATACTTTCTCTGTTGATACTATCATACGCCTTTTTGAAATCTACAAAAAGTGTATGTAGTTCTTGATCGAATTCCCAGGTTTTTTGAGCTAGTTGTCTTATAATAAATATTTGATCTATTGTGGATTTATTTTCTCTAAAACCACCTTGATAGTCATTTATGATATTTTCCGCCAAAGGTTTGATTCTATCTAGAATGCAATACGATAAGATTTTATAGGTTATATTCACTAAGGTAATACCTCTATAGTTGCTGCATTCTTTTTTATCATCCTTTNTTTGATCTATTGTGGATTTATTTTCTCTAAAACCACCTTGATAGTCATTTATGATATTTTCCGTCAAAGGTTTGATTCTGTCTAGAATGCAATACGATAAGATTTTATAGGTTATATTCACTAAGGTAATACCTCTATAGTTGCTGCATTCTTTGCATAATTTTGGTCGCTTTGCCTACCCCCAGGAAAGGAAATTATTATTGCTGATATCAATGAATTTGGTTCTAATATTATAGAATTAAAATTTGAGTATCCAGTTTATTATTTTAGTTTACAGAATAGGTATGAATAATATCAGAAAGGGTTTAGTAGGCAAATTGAATCTCATCGAATACTAGTCGTTTTCGTGTTTGCAAATTTATATACATCTATCTAATGTTTATTAAACATATTTTAAACAGGGATATTATACACCCATTCAATACATAATAAAATTCTAAACATCCACGTTTAATAAACATATACTATGATTATAATAAAATCACTAGTAAACATGAAATCCACTATTGATAGTGAAGGCCTCAACGTTTATTAAATGCTTAACATATACTGATTTTTTCCCACGTGATATTTACAAAATAAATTATATTCCACAACTATATAATAATTCAATGGTCGCGTTGTTTTAGTAAACTATAAAATATGTATAACAAGTTTTGACTTAAATTTAATGTAGTACCTTTTGCCATTTAAATGCAAATTACAAATTTTTTAAGTTTCTATCATAAAATGTTGGTTTATTTACCAAAAGTACAAGTGAATACTGAGTAGATACTCGTACTTTGCATAATATTATTTTTACACAGAATAAAAAATGTATTATCCTTTGATACTTTTTAGGTAGTTATAGATATTTACTTTACAGTATAATATAATATATTTTTGTATACACTTTCAAATCAAAATAAATCCGGACGTTTAATTTGTTTATCAAATCTCTACTTTGTGTTTAATGTCGAACGTCTTCAGACTTATAATGCATAATTAGTAGTTTCCTATATTATATCTTTACTATTACTAATATAGGAAATTGATGTTATATATTCGTAATAATTTCTAACCCAATATTTCAACTCATATAATACCCAATGTTAGGTTTACATTCTATAATATATAACCATTAAATCAGATTATTAAAAATAATTTTTAAACTTGTAAAATAAAAATTCTTATAAATATTATTTATTTTTTTAATCGAATATCATGTATAATACGAGATTTGGCTATTAAATAACGAGACTGCTCGCGCAGAGAGCGTCCTAAAAAGATTAGGGGAAAACCGAATACAGCGCTGGTTAACTGGAAGTGTCTATTATGCCAGTACAAAATTGGGTTTTTGTTGATNTTCACTGATCTTATAAATAAATGAAATACTAAAAATAATATTGCAGGAAAAAAGATAGCTCATTATTAATATAACATTTGTCTGCAAATGAACTTTTTATAAATAAAAAAATGTCTCGAAAAAATAGGTTACATAGTTAATACAAATTCCGTGATACGTATTATTCTTATTGATTTTACTATACAAGGTGTGGCTATTAAATAACGAGACTTCACACCTTTAGGGCGCCCTAGATGGGTAATGAAAAAAACGAGTAATGCGTTGGGTATCTAGATATCTTATCTATGCACGTACCAAAACACGTTTTCGTCACTATTATAGTATTTGTGCAGTAGAAACGAACGTGTTTTTTTCTCGTGCCGAAAACGATGTGTGACGAAGAACATGAGCAGCGGATAAACGTAAAATTTTCTCGTTAAACTAAACAAAACTGCAACTGAGTGCTATAAGTTGTTAAAAGAGGCCTATAGTGAAGATTTCCTATCTCGGGCGCGTGTTTTTTAGTGGCATAAATTATTTTCTGACCGTCGAGAGTACACCGGAATCCAATTCAGTCGTAATCCAAATTCAAAACCGTTTTCTTCGATATCAACGGCATCGTGATGACTGAATGGGTTCCAGAGGGTCAAACTGTGAACCAACATTACTATTTGACAGTTTTGGAAACATTGCGCCAATGAGTTCGTAAGAAACGGTCGATATTGTGGAAAAACAAGTCGTGGATAACGCACCTGCCCATAACGCTGTCTGTGAAACGTTATTTGGCCGCTTAAGGCACTCCAGTACTCATCTACCCATCTAGAGCGCCCTCTAGGCGAGCAGTCTCGTTATTAAATACCCAAATCTCGTATTAGTAAAACAAAAATCTAAAAATTTAATAATAATAATTTAATTTAAATGTTCAAAAAAATAGTACCACACCTCCAATGCAGACTCCATCATGTTAGGATCACTTGCATGATCCTCCTCAACATACTATAGCTTGGACCCGTTATTGATAACGCTTGACCGCCCTGACAAATTGCGGACTCCCGGTAGGGGAGAAGTTTAACGAACGAACGAGAGTGCATTGAATGGCCATCGGACCAGATGCACTTTTTGCAAAGGGTCTTGAGATCACATTTGGACAATTGGTTGTGGACCTGGGGGTGAGGCAACGGAGTTTAGGTAATAGTTACTGGCATGATAACCTGAAATTAAATCGACATGAACGCGAACGAGAGTAAAATTTTAGAAAAACACTTCGAAAGTGTTATCTACCTTCAAAATCTAACATAAATGGTTATGTGTTCATGACCGAGTACTCCACCACCATGTTGGCGTTCACAGTAGTTTTTTTTTTTGTAGATACCTCTGTGTGAGATGTGAAATTAGTTTTACAATGACGCGTTTATTTTTCTCGGAAAACACTATTTGCAAAAGTAAACATTTTGATTAGATTTTTAGGTTACTTACACAAAATATACATAATATATGCTTAAAAACTTTCGTCCGGAAAATACATAGGTAGGTAATTGAAATTGAACACGCAGATGGTGTTTTTAAAGGAAATACATATATTTATTCCAATCTCCCGATTATATATACACAGACAAATCATACAAGCAGTCATCAGAAGAAATAAAGTGAAATTTTAATTTCGAGTATAAATCGTGTTTCCAATTTACCATTCAAAAAAAAAAATTTACCTACAATATACCAATCGACTTTGTGACCTAGTCAGCCATTCAGAGCAAGTCCAATGTGAAATCGTTTTAAATATTGTTATATACCTTATACTAATTGTATGAATTTCTACCGAATTATTGTAATCGTTTTACTGGTTGTAATCATTTTATTATTATACATGTATTATTGCCTCTTACCAAACTCACAAATTTTCACAATATACTAAACTCTAATAGCTAGAGTTAAGAATTCTGTTACAATTTGAATCTTTTATTATTAAATTTTATTTGATAACCATCTGACTACACCCGGATAAAATTAACTGTAATCGATTTAATGTTATCTTTTATTTTACAGTTCAGAAACGGTATCATAAGCATAAATTACTGTTTAATTTGACCCATTTTTAATAATAAAAATGTATAGCTAGCTAACCAATGACTGGCGTTTGTAATATATCACATTTATTTCTTAATATGAATGTTTTTCTTATTCGTTCATGATACATAGATAATTAAATCCTCCATAATAATATTATAAACAAACAAACAATAAATGAAATTGTGTTAAAATTTAAACGTCTGACCTACAAGACCCCGTTCAGCAAAAATGTGACTTCTGAACATATTTTTTGTCTAAACATTTATACATGCATTATAAAAGCATTTCTAATTTTTACATTTGAAATTTTAGATTCTGAGTAGAGTGAAGAAGCTAATGGTTTTACAAAGTTGATTTTTTTTTTATCTATGCGCAATTTTTCTACCAGAAATCTTAGAAATCTTACTACGGTAATTTTTCGATTCTGTCAGGAGTTTTCTCGTCAAATGTAAAAAACCAAAAAAAAAAACTAAAGAAAAACGGGAAAATGTAAGAAATATGGGTATTAGTTAAAAATATTATGACTTTCTGTTTTCCTGTGAACAACTTTTCTACCAGCAATTCTGTTCCGATTTACAATTATAGCACTTTTTCTGCTTGAGAAAAGACTAATAATAAATGTATCTGAGAAATCGTTAAAGCCTCGAGTTTGGAAAATATTCTACTTTGATATTTTCAGAAGAAAAAATTATAATCAACAAAATGTATTCGTGTTATAAAGAAAGCACGGAAACCGATAATATAAAATAGAACGATCTCCCGAAAAGAAAAACAACGGAACGAAGGTTAATGTAGAAAACGGTATCACTACCGCAATAGATTGGAAGAACGAAATTGTTTTTCACCTCAAACCCCATCAGATGAGAAAATGTTCGTACGTATATATTTTTTAGATTATACGTCTGTTTTCTGTAAATAAACTGGTATAAGACGAGAAGATTGTCGCGAAAAGGTTTTTTTTCTAAATATTTCTCGACTAGCGGACTTTTTTTTTTGTTCATCTCTCAATGAATAACTAATGGATATACTTTGAAAATTAAATCAATTTAGATAATAAGCCAATCTAAATATGAACTGCAATTATCCTAAATAATCTAGAAGAATAAATAATGGTATATAATAATTAAAAAAGTGCTAATACTGGAGAAGGGGGTGACAAACACACAAAAAAAAAGCGCACATCATAGTAAAATCAATAGATAACTCACTACGCTCCGAATCTAAAATAAAATAAACATCATAATTTAATGTAATACTGTATTCCACCAAGTTCGACTGATTTTTCTAGCGCTGTTATAATAATATTGCTAATATTAAATTTATTTCGGTTTATTTTGTTTTAATCGGTTTGTCTTTAAGGGGGACATCGATTTGGAGAAAAATTAAATATGGATTTTCATTACTTAAAAACAAAAAACTTTTTATTTATTCATTTTAGACAATTTTCAAAATAGCCAATTTGTAAAAAAAAATCAAAAAATTTAATGTATCACACATTCATATCCGATGAATAATTTCTTAGTTATAGCCGTTTTAATTAGACTTGAAAACAAATAATATTCAATAAAATAACACATTATGCGATAAGGAATTACAATCAGCACGCTAGTTCTTTAATTAATTGTTTTCATGCCTTTTTACTAGAACTTAAAACTGCTATAATTAAGAAACTATTAATCGGGTATAAATGTTTAGTACATTACAATTTGTATAATATTTTTTAAAAAATGGTTATTTTTAAAATTTTCTATAAATGAATAAAAAGAGATGTTTTTTTTTTTGTGTTTAGGGAAAAAAATTTAATTTTTCTCTATATCGATGTACCCTTCGAAGACAAACCAATTGAAAAAAAATCGAACAAAATTTAACATTAACAGCGCTAGAACAATCCGTCGAACATGGTGAGATACACTAAATACTGTAGTCATAGAACATTGATTCTAAGCCGTAAACTCAAATAAATGAAACGGAGAAAGATTTTCGGAGATTTTTACTACTCAAATATAGTTTTTTTATAATGAAACAAAAACCACATAATTACTAATGTATAATATTAGTAATCACATTATATAACATTTTCAGAAAGGCAATTTCGTTGGGCCTTTGGCCTATTAGAACCTAAACTAACCAAAACATTTAGATAAATAGGTACTTTAAAACTTAATTTCAAAGCGTTTTGAAAAATATTTTTCAGAGATAACAACGAAACATAAATAAATAAGTAATAAATATATTACCTAGAAGATTGCAGTGGATGATAATATAACAACAATGTAAAAATCGGGTTTTTTTGTT